AGATCTAAAAGGTTCCAACTAATTATGCTGTTAGATACCACTGTTTTGTATCAAAGAACTGTATCTTTTTGTGAATACTGGGTGTAAATAGACCCAAAAGCATTATTCATATTTTTTAAGGCTTATATTATAATTTGTAAGGTTTCTGGATTCTGCGTGGCTAGAGATATCCTTGAAATAAAAATAGGGCTTGCTCTTCTTTCCAAATGTGAGAACTTGTCATAAAGGAAAGAAGACTTATTGGTTTGGTCATCAAGTAACCAGGAATGGTAATACCGATCATGAAATGGAACTGGTTTTGTGCAAAGTAATATAGTTTCTTATTTATTGCTTTTGTAAATTGAATAAAAAGTGGACTTCTATGTAAATAGACTGTCAAACTCAATTGTATTATCATGGCTACTAAAATTAATCTGTAAAGAATGCATTCTTCATTGTAACTTTTAAAGTATTTTATGTATTTTTAGATGACTTAAATTTTAGTTTTCATACATTATGAAAACAAAATGGCATATTTCCTGCTTCTGACTAAACACATATCCAGTGTATGTACTTCTAATTACTTATTACAGTATTAATTTAGATAGCTTGTTTGTACTGTGCAATTTGAACAAAGGAATGCAATGTTATTTTTTACAAAAACAAACTTGTTTATTTTTATAATAACAGTGTATTGATGTGGACCAAATTTGTACCACTATGTAAAATAGCCTCTCTTCTCATAGTGCAATTACAATTTAGAAATAAAACTTGGTCCTCTTTTCTTTTTAAAGTGAACAGATTTAGATGTCCTAGTCCAGTTTCCTTTGAAGGAAAATTCAAAACCAATTTGAAATTGCATTATCCAGAATTCATCAAACTGTTTTAAAATTACTCAGTTTGGTAGTTCACTGAATTTACTTTTTACATTACAAGTGCAATAACTTCACGTACTAAACTCTAGGATGGGTGGAATGTGATTTTTGGTACCTGGTCCTTATGGTGCTACTTTTATTTTAAGTCTTTGTTTTAAACCACCTTACCCTGAATCTAAGATTGAAAATGATTGTTTACCATGTGAGTCCATGCAGCCCAGCAGGTTCTTCTCCTGGCCTGGTCTACAAGGAGAAGAACCAGTGTTACTTTCGTGTTTGGTATAAATATTCAGTCAATAAAAATGATTTTCCATTGTAAGTAGCTGTGATCTTTTCAGATATTTTGATTTTTTGATCTTGTCTTTCTGGATAGCAAGTTACCAAGAAGTTAACAATATTTTGGGGTTAAGAGCCCATGTGATTCTGTTCTTCTATAAAAATAACTGTTTTTCAACCCACAGGAATTCTTATTCTCCAAGGCAAAAAAACTGGGACATGAAAAAATTTTCTCTTTGGTAGTATGTTCTTATGTTTGTCTTGTTTGGTTCGTAACTGTTCAAGCCATAATTTGACCAATGAATTTAAATAAGTATAACTATTTGAAGTTTACTAGATACATTTAAATTATTTGCTGATACCAAAAGAAGTCATTTGGGGATTGAGTCAACTTTTGCTTGTATTTAAACTTGCTGCTACTTCTGTAATGTGTGTATTTTTATGTGGTGAAGGGCAATAAAATCATTACATTAACCTTTGTTCATCTCAGGTTAACAAAAAGTTCTATGTATTAAAAACCACAAAAGTATTCTCTTCACTACATAATTCTGCCTCTTAGAGTTTTTCTTACAGAATGACCCAAAAAATCCAGAAAAACTGTTTTAAATCTACATATTATATTATGAGCATGAAAGTCTGAGAGTGTCCTAGATACCTAATGGAGATTAAACAGTCCACAATAATGATATGGGAAATATCTTTAGTATAATGGGGGAATGATACAAAATCAGTACTAGATCCCTTCTACCCAGCAGGTAAGTCTCTTTATATAGGAGACTAGGCATCAGACCTCAGAAGTGAGATTAAAAATGATTGACCTTTTCTTAGTATCCCATATTCTAAGTCTGCGGTCTCTGAATTTGTATATTTTGGATATGTTGTATAAATGGAATCATATTTCATGAGTTTTTCTGGGGACTTCTTTTACTTAGCATATTTTTAAATACAGTTTTAATAAAAGAGTCTCCCTAAACGGTGCTGGGGGCCACCAGGTGTAGCCTTGGTCCTTGTTCTAAGGGCTTTGAGTACACCCCAGCTCTTAACATGGTGTAAATTTTTTAAGGCTTAATAATATTTTCTTGTATTTATTATATACAAAAACACTGTAATTATCCACCCACCAGCTGAGACACCCTTGGGTTTCCACTTCCTGTGAACTTTCATATAGAAGTCTCTATGGAGACATTTTTCATTTTCTCCAGCATTAGAACTACTGAGTCATATAAATAGTCAATTTGACCACATTACAAAGTACTTGTACTATTTTTTACATTTCCACTACAATAAAGGAGGATTTCCATTTCTACCATTAACATTTGTAATTACCTGAATTTTTGGTCACAGCCATCTAAGTTTTGTATAAAATGATAACTGCATTATGGTTTAGATCAGATTTCCCTGCTAATATATTTTCATACAGCTGTTGGTTATTTGTATATTTGGGAAGAGGGATCCTTGACTATCTCAAAACTGGCCATTTATTTTACTGACTTCAAGGTTTATGTTTGTAAATGTTTTCTCATTCTCAGGACTTGTGTTTCCACTTTATGATACTTGTCCTTGTAGGCATAAATGTTTTATTTTGATGGTCTTTTATTTGTCTTTGATCGCTTGGGCTTTTTGTGTCAGAGCTAAGAAACTCTGCCTAACACAAGGCTTTTAAATATTTATGCCTATGTTTTATTGAGTTTAATCATGTAACCCCACATTGATGTCTTTGAGCCATTCTGAGTCATTTTAGTGTATGTGGTTAAGGCAGTGGATTATTTTGTGTACCAGAATCAAGTTAAGGACTTAGACACGCAAGATATGCCTTCTACCACTAAGCTACACGCCCAGCTATTAGTTATTTTGTATATGGATATGCAGTTGTCCTAGCAGTGCTTAGTGAAAACATCCCCACCCCACCCCCAGTGGATTTTCAAAGCTATATTACTTCCTAATTGAATGCATGGATTTATATCTAAAGTGTCAGTATATGTTGCATTGATTTATATGTCTATTCATAATACCATTATCACTGTAGGAACTTATTAAAAATGTGCCTTGTCTCTGCTTTTTAAAGATGCTTTTGGCTATTCTTCGTTCCTTGTATTTTTGGATGAATTTTAGGATCAGTTGGTCAATTTCTGCATGTGCACACAGACACAAAAGGCAGGAGGGTGGGGTTGATAGAGATTGTAACCAATCTTTGATCGATTTTCTGGAAAATGTTGCATTCTTAATACTAAGCCTTGTAATCCATGGACAATGGGTGTCTTTCCAGTAACTTGTCGTCTTTAGTTTCTTTCAGCAATGTTTTGTAGATTCCAGTGTAAAAACTTGAATTTTTTACATTTCTTCCTACAGGAAGTTTTCTTGTTGCAACTTGTGTTTTTCATTTTTGCATTGTTCTTTATTAGTATATGAAATCCTGGATGGGAGCTATTGGGTAGGGCACTTGCCTTTCACTCAGCCTATCCTACAGTCCCCCATACAGTCTCCCAAACACACCAGAAATGATCCCTGAGCCAGTAATAAACCCTGACCACCACTAGGTGTGGCTCAAAAAATATATACTAAGATTTCTGTAAATTGGGATTCTGAATTATTGCTGAATTAAACAATGCTGAATTATTACTGAACTTCTTGTGGATTCCTTACCATTTTCCAAATAAAAGATCTGTCTTTGTAACCAGGGACAGTTTTAATAATCTGACTCTCTTGTAAAATTGTTTTAATAGGAATTCCATACAATTTCAATAGATGTGGCACAGTAATAGCTATTGAATCTTCTGTGGTGGTCTTAGGAGGATATTTTATCATAATTATGCTAATTGAATTATCCCTTTTTACGTGTTTATTGGGGAAAATTGTTGGGGCTTTGCCAAAAAAATTTTTTTTCTCATTTATTGATGTCATCAGGTGGTTATTCTTAATTTTATTCCATTAATATGGTGTTTGAGATATATCCTTGGTTATGGTACCTTGGCTTTGATTCCCAGCACACACACATGCCTCTAAATCAGATCACAAAAAAATTATGCCAGTACATTTCAGGATTTCCTAGGATAAGTATCCCATTTACAATAGTTAACAAATGAGGACTGGAGAGATAGTACAGTGGGTAGGCACTTGCCTTGTTTGTGGCTTACATCAGTACATTCCCCAAGCCCTCCAGGTGTGATCCCTGAGCACAAGTAGGCGTGTCCCCCCACAAAAACCCAAAAATATTTAACAAATGAAGCCAGACATAAGACCATATTATTGGTTTTACTGGCTCTAAAAGAGGGCAACATTTAAGTTAAAGATGCACGTTTCCTCTGTAACCAATGATAATTTGGCATGATTCAGTAGGTTTTTTTTTGCTTGTTTGGGGGCTGTACCTGCAGTGTGGGGTACGGCAGCGTGGGGGGGGGGGGGCAATATGCATAACATATATATATGTAGTCCCAGGGCTCAAAGCTGGGTCAGTTGCATGCAAGACAGCAAGGCAAGTTGTCTTCTTCATGCCTATATTCTCTCTCTGTCTCTCTCTCCCCAATTCTTAGGTTATTTGGGTATCCTGGGAATGTTAAAAAATATCACATAAAAAATTGGCAATACATTTCCTGACTCCGCTCAGCAGGGGAAACTTGTACACATGCTCCAGTGGCCGCACCTTCCAGTGAACTGTTTTAAATGAATTCACTCAAAGGGAGAGAAGCTGCACAAAGATCTTGGATTTCTTTCAGTTTTGTGGGGATTTTAACATTTAACATTATGAAATTCATAGACATCCTTTTTTTATTCATAGTTACAGGGATTCCAATTGAAATAGTGTTTCTGTGCTAAGTTATCATGTCCATCACCCGTTAATATAGTAACAATTATACATCTACATAACAGCATTTCTTCAAATGTGGGTATACAATAGAACATTAACAAAGATTTATTAAAGACACCTCAATACTAGTAGGTTAAAAATTTTATTTTAATAACATTGTAAGGCAACAATTAGTCCTCAGCAAATCAGCAAACCAATGAACCCAAGGATGGACACGATCATTTCTTTCTACATTTCCTGAGTCAAAAAGCTCGGTTTATGCCCCACCCCCAGCCCAGTTGTAACATTTTAGAATCCTATCATGCTTATTTACATCTTAATACAATAGCTCTTAGGTCAGACTCAAAAGTGACTTTTTTACAGAATTTCTTCAAAAACCATAATTCTTTCTTTACCTGAATGTTCAGTTCTGTGCTGCTTACATTTAAATTCTGTAGAAAATAATGCATTTTAGGGGGAAAAAAAGTCCTTTAATTTCAGAGGCTACTGATCTGCTTGCCAGTGTGCTTATTATTAACAGTCATTAACTTGTGTATAATTACTTAACCATTTCTAAACATAAAACAATCCCCCAGAATATTAAGCATGCCCTGAGACTAGTAAACATTTTTCTCGCTACTGACCTCATACAATCTTGAAACTTCATAATGCTAAAGAAAACCAAAAGAAAATTGTTTAAATAGGAAAATAACCCAAAGGCAAAGAGAAAAATCATGATTATTTCTGAAAAAGGGTAGCAACATCCTTCCTAAAGGAAGAAAATCAGAGGAACAATTTGTTTTCCTTAGTGACTTTCTCACTACAGGTGTTTTTTTTTTTTTAATTTTTTCCTTCTCTACAATTCCTAGTGCTCTATATCAAAATAACCACAGGGACAAAAAAATATATATATCCACATTTTCAAATTCATTGAGATATTACTCTTTCATTTTCTCCACAACTGTGATTATATGAGCAATGACCACTGCAAACATGCAAACATTTCTGCCTGGCAGAAATACTTGACAGCTGTACACTTAGAACATCAGAGACTGTTTAAGCATGGTTTCTACAAAATCCAAGGACAAGAGTAGCTACAGGTTCAGCATCTGCACGATATAAGTCTTTTAGGTCTGACTACACCCCTGTCAGTGTGGACCCAGTCAAAATTTTTTCAGCAATTACAACTTAGTCAAGCCATAGTAGTGTGGTTAAGAAAAGCATATTGTACAAGTAGCCTTAAGAGTTTCCTCCAGCAGCATATACTAGGCTTGGATGTGATGCCACTATTGTTTTGTTATGGCTTTTAAAACATTTCTTGGCCTAGGCATTTTTCCACTTCCGGGGAGGGGGGGCGGGGGGGAATGGAATCTAGCAGAACTTAGCACTGATCTCACTAAACCCTTCTGTTGCTGCTGGACCCACTAAATCATGAGAGGCACCACTGTGATATGCCTTGCAAGCTACATGCCCATCTTCATCAAAGTGAAAAGCACCTTTCAGTCCCAAGGCTTCCATTAGACATGATCTGAACACCACATTTACATGTAGAGAGGTTTCTCTCCAGTGCCAACTACCTGATGTCTCAGGAAAACCAAGTCCACTGGACAATAAGAAACTAATCTGTTCAATTGGACAAAAGACAATTGAAAAGTACAGACCCAGTGCATAAACAGAATTAAGCGCTAACCTTGGTTAGCAGGTGAATCCTTCTAAACAGAATATTTGGAAAATTTCTAGCCTCCTCCCCACTCTCCTACTCAGATTAGTCACCATGACAACTCAGTGCTTCAAAGAAGAAAGGTAAGAGTCAAAAAATACAGAAAGTAGCTGAATAAATGCTCCTCTTCCCAAAATGATGTGGTGCAGAGAGGAATCAGAGTTTTAACAGGAAACCAGGCAACAAAAGGATCAGAAAGGGGCCAGAGCGAAAGTACAGCGGGTATGGCATTTGCCTTGTACATAGCCAACCTGGGTTCCATACCCAGTACCCCAAATGGTCCCCTGAGCACCACCAGGAGTAATTCCTGAGTGCTGAGCCAGGAGTAACCCCCGAGCATTGCCAGGTGTAACCCAAAAGCAAAAAAAAAAAAAAAGAGTAAAAGTGTAATGATAAATCACAGGGCATCCCTGTCAGGACAGGAGCCACTAACAGAGGCCCTGGGGGTCAGTGCAGCGAGGAGAAAGCATGGTCCAGAGGCCTGAAAGAGCAGGGTTCCTGGCACAGGCTGGGGCGCAAAAGCCCCATGGGTGTTCCCCAGCCCTTGCATTTGCTTTCAGAGACCAACAGAGTTAGGTCTCCACCATTTATTCACACAAAATGGTGTAGGACTTCACTGAGAAATGTTATCTGTCTTACCTTCTACATCTTTCATGACCCTAAAGGAGTAATTAAAGTGGTTTGTTGGCTTTTATCCTTAGGATCATAGAAAAGATGCAAATGTGTAGTGGCAGTACCCACAGGTGCTTAAGTACCAGAAAACTGGCATTTTCAAGTGTCATAAAGGCCATGCATCACTACTTACAGTATAACCACTGTAGTGCCCTTGAAAGGTGTAACACACAAAACTCTGAACTCATACTCATTAAAAACTCACTGACTTGCATTTTTTCTGTGTAACAAAGGACAAAACTATGTCACACAGACTATCCCACTGGATCGTTGTCTTAGGAGTTCATCTACAAGATTAAAAAACAAAGAGATTGTAGGTGCACACCCAGGCAGAAGGAAATGTCCAATCTGGGAACTTCTCTTTCAGAGCATCCAGCTGGAAGGACCTCTTTTCTTCCCCAGAAAGGTAGTGGGCAGCAGTGGCCACAGTGACCATTCCTTCAGGTTGTTCTTCCGAGACCTGACAGAGAAAAATCAGTTATTTCTATGGTTTTATGAGGACACAATATTGATGACAAGCTTCCTGCGCAAAACACCCAGGAACACCCGATCAATAACACAATTAATTCTTGGAAATCCTGACCTGTACTTCTATCCAGAATTGCCAGGCAGAGGCCTGAAGTCCATGGGAGTAAAATACAAAGTAGTCCCCTCCTTTACTTGTGACTGGAGTCCCATTGCCAAGAGACCACTGAGAGAGCGTTGACCCTTTGTGAGTTCGGACATAGAATGACATATGTGTTGGTCCTGAAAGAGAAGAGGAAAGATTAAATTGTTGAATCCAATCATCAATCACTATGACATGCAATTAACCCACTACCCAAACCAGATCACGAAGGTTCATGCCTTTTCATGTCAGAGCTTCCAGGAAGCTAATGGAGGACCCATTTGAACCATGAGTATGCATCAACAGTGACAGGGATGAACTTAAAATAAGAAAACATGTTCAAGTCTTGGTACTGCCATCTAACCACACAAGAGCAAAGCACCCATGAATCTTAGACATCTACAGAATAGGATTTCCCCAACAGCTGAAAAAAAAAAGACAAAAAACTGAAAGTGATTTAAATACATCAGAGATTAAAAAGACAAATACTGAGAGACAGTGAAAGTTTAATGTCTAAATGTTGCATGTAACACACACTGAAAAGAACTCTATGATAAGTTCAAGGGAAACAATATAAACCATCGGAGCCCCTCAAGAACAGGAAGGCAAAGTGATGAAGAAACAATAGTTAAGCCACTGATAAGAATTTTCCAGAGTTGATCACAGGCACCGAGATCAAGAGGCCTGAAGCATCTCGGCAAAAACAGACTCAACTAGGAAAATGCCAAGAAACACCAGTCAAAATACCAAAAGCCAAAAAGAGAGAATACTGAATGCATCAAGATCAAAAAAGGGAACCTAGAGAAAAAGAAAAGCCCCTAAGAGTCACACCAAATAAAATGTTCAAGCCAAAAAAGTGTAGAGGACATAGTACAAAAAACACTTCGCCAAGAATATTCGATCCAGATAGATTATCAAACAGCTGTGAAAGAATAATACTGAGCTTCATGGACAGATGACAGGCAACAATTTAATTCATAGCCTTAAAACTATTTTTACAAGAAGCATTAAAAGAGCTGCTTTGGGCTGGAGAGATAGTACAGCGAGTAGGGCTTGCACTTGGCCAACCCAGGTTTGATTCCTAGCATCCCACATGGTCCCACAAGCACTGCCAGGAATAATTCCTTAGTGCATGAGCGAGGATTAACACCCTGTGCATCGCTGGGTGTGACCCAAAATGCAAAAAGAAGGCGCTTTTTTTGGCGGGGGGGGGGGGGGGGGGGAGGAGACACAGCGGGTAAGGCATTTGCCTTGTATGCGACCAACCCGGGTTCGATTCCCATCATCCCATATGATCCCCTGAGCACTGCCAGGAGTAATTTCTAAGTGCAGAGTCAGGAGTAACCCCTGTCATCACCAGGTGTGACCCAAAAGGCAGGAAAAAAAAAAAGCTGCTGTTTTAAAGGACAAGACGAACTTCCCAACATGTGACATGGCACTAAGAGTGTACATGGCTGCCCTCTATTAGATTAAAAAAATATGTTTACTCCTAGCTTGCTAAAGGCTTTTATACATTTTCAATAATCAACATCTCATTTACATTGTAAAAAAGAAAAGAGTATTTGGCTGGATAAATAGTAGTGCAAATAAGAGCGCTTTCCTTGCATGCGACTGACCTGGGTTCAGTCCCCAGCACCCCAATGGTCTCCCAAGCTCTGCCAATGTGAGCCCTGAGTACAGAACCAGGAGTGAGCCCTAAGAATCTCTGGGGGTGCCTCTCCTCCAAAATTTTTTTTTCAATAAATACTGCCCTATGAAGTTACAAAGAACAATGAAACCATGCCATATGCTGCAACCTGGATGGAAATGGAAGGTACCATGTTAGACAGACACAGATAATCTCACGTATTCGTGGCACACAGAATAAGTGGATGACAGAATGCAGTGTTTAAGGGAGAGATGCCTTGATCCTGGAGTATAAAGAGTAGATGGACAAAGAAGGAAAGCAATCAAACGGGGAAGGAAGATGAGTAAAGGAAGTGATGAGGGGACGGATGAGGGGGCCTCTGGTATACGGGTAATGTGGGGGAAAGGCACAGCTATATATCCAAAGTACAGGCTCAACAACACTGAAAACACAAGATCCAAAATACAACCACCAAACTTTATGATGTGCCTGTCAAGGGGGCAGCCTGGGGTGGCACAGTGGGGTGGGAGCAGGGGACACAGGAACACTGGTAGAGGGAAGCTGACTCTGAGGGTGTCAACTATTTTTTTTAAAAAGCCTTTAAAAAAAAATAATAGAACATTACATGTTTAAACTGCAACCACCAATTATAAATCATGGTTCTTTAAAAAAATATTAATGAAAATACACCTAAAAAATCATGAACCTTCTTTTTTTTCCCCCTTCAGAATGATTTATTTATTAACCCATAATTTTTTTTTTTTTTTTAGTGAAACACCATGAGGTACAGTTGTAGACTTACAAATTTTTGTGCTTGGGTTTCGATTATACAATGATCAAATACCCATCCCTTCACCAGTGCCCATTTTCCACCACCATGGTCATGAACCTTCTTAAATGCAACAGATTATGCAAAGGAAACATCATACAAAAGCAGGAATATAAAAAAAATAAAAGACAAAAATCATAAAAATGCTATCAAAGTAGAGCCCAGATATCATCAGTACTGAATATCAGTATGAATAGACATCTGACTGCCATTACATAAAATTTTTGATTTGATAATAAAGCCACTCACATACTGTATTCAAAGAAACACTGCACAAATTTATGAACAGGCCCAAAAGCCCCAATCAATAATCCATGTGCCTCATATTTCCCTCCATGCTACACCCTGCCCACCCAGGCCATGGACCAGGCCCGTCTCATATCCAGGTATGCTCCCACCGAGGTGGTGTCCGCAAAGCCTAGACATACTGCCCTCAAGCCCCAAGCAGCAGCCCCCCTACATGCCTGCAAGCATGAGGAACCCCACCCCTCTGCCCTGTGCACTGTGCCCCATCTCTAGGCTAACACTGGGATTGGATCTGCTTCTCGTCTGTCCATACTACAACCTAGCTGGGTGCCCCGTGGAGCCCAGTCTCACTAGCTTCACCCTAAACCCCAATCAGCCATATGCCTGGATGCCTGGGGAACCCCATCCTCCATCCGCCCATGAAATACCCTATTCCTAGGCCAGGGGTTGGATCAGCCTGATGCCTAACATGCTCAAACCTAAGTTTGTGCCCTGCGGAGCCCAGATCTGCCCTGTCCTGCTCAGTCAGGTGCCTACAAGCCTGGGGGAACCCCATTCTGCTTAACTCAGCTTAAGCGTAGGCCAGAGACTTGGCCTGCTTCGTGCCTCAAGCCTGGGAAAAAGGATCCTCCTGCCCTGCGAGCCACACCGTACAGCTAGGTGAGGCCAGGGATCGGCCTAGTCTCATGTCTGTACTCTAACCTACATGGGTGCCCTGCTCAGCCCCGACCTCCCCACACCATCACTGGCCAGCACTAAGCCCAATCAACCATGCACCTGCAAACTAGAGAACCCCATCCTTCTGCCCCATCTCCTTATGCTGCCCCGAGGCCAGGAATTGGACCTGCCCCATGTCCATCTATCCTCCAACCTATGTGGGTGCCCTATGAGCCTGGAAGTACCCCGCTCTGCACTCAAGCCCTGAAAGCCACGTCCCTGCAAAACTGGGGAACCCATCTTTCTGTCCTGGGCCCTGTACCCTGACCACAGGCCAAGGACTGGGCCCACCTCATGTCCACTATCCTTGAACGTAGGTGGGTGCCCCTAGAGCTCTGACCTTCCCCACTCTACCCTCCAGTCTTGACGTCTGAAAGCCTGGGGAACCCCCTCCTGCCCTGACCTCCTTAGCCACTAGGCTAAGGATTGGGCCTGCTTCTCTTATCATCCAACCTAGATGGGTGCCCTGTGGAGCCCAGTTCTCCCTTGCCCTGCCTGGAAGCCGCAAATAGCTACATGCCTGCAAACCTGAAGATTCCCATCCTTCTGCTATCTGTGTCCAAACAGGACCTTGGGCTATGCCAGTGATCGGGTCTGCTCATGTTCATCTATCACCAATCTACTTGGGTGCCCTGAGGAGGCTGGAATTACCTACCCCGCCCTGAAGCCCTTAACAACTACATGCCGGCAAGCCTGGGTACCCCTTCCCTTCTGCCCTGCGAGCTGTACCCCAGGCCTAGGCTAGGCCAGGGATCGGCCCACTCATTTTCCTCGATCTCCAACCTAGGTGGGGGACCTGCGGAGTTCAATCCCCCCATCCCACCCTCATGGCCTATCAGCTACATGGCTGCAAACGGGACCCCCATTCTTCTGCCCTTCCCACTGTACCCATCCCCTAGACTAGGCCAGCTATTGGGCCTGCTCTAGTGATTCACGACTAAATTTCTGAAGAGATGCAATCAAACAGCTAAAATACACAGAAACACTGGTCTCAGCAGCTGAAAACCCGAGGACACCGTCTGCAGGCAGGTGAGCTGAGTACCTGACCCCAGCAGCCATACCCGGGCCACACTACTGCAGCCATGCCAAGGGCTCAACTCCACTGATTCACAAACATTCTCTCCAGAGAGGCCAAGCTGTGATAATTTTAGTTATCCAGTGCCCAGGATGAGAACTCTGGTGTCTTTGGGCGGAGGCCGAAGCCTACCCCACTCCCTGTACTTCTGGAAGCTCCTGCAGCCTCACCCACCTCCCATATCAACTCATTTGCCCAGACAATACTGAAATTTGAGTAGGAGCATGCCAAATTAGATAGGAAGGTAACCTAGAAGCCAACTAAACTTATCTAACAAAAACAGTAACTCAGAAGGCTCAACTAGCAACAACTTAGTAAATTCTTAGACAAGGACTTTACAACCCAGTGATGAGATACAATTTCCACATAAAAATACATTTTTTATACTTATTGATTTTAATATTGGAGCTTTGTTATCTAATCAGTTTCAACTCTAGAATTGTATCAATAGGCATGGCTTTTGTCTATATTAATTTTTTAAAGGCATAAATTTTAGTTATAAGGTAAATTCTACAGTTATAGCATATAACATGGTTACAGCTAGAACTAATGCAGTATACGTATGAAAGTTGTTAAAGAAATAAATCCTAAGAGTTTTCATCACAAAAAAAAGTATCCAATTTAAAAGTGTCCAAAAACATCAAGT